TGTAGGAGGCAGGGAGACTCACCTAAGGTTACCAAACAGCACTTGATGACAAACTGTCAATAGCATTCTGAAAGATTTGCATGTTTCTCTATCACTATATTGTTCCAATCTCACCACAGGAAATCATTCTAGTATCCCTAATGGAGTTGTTACACTTTGGGTAATTTACACCCCTTAATTTTACTGCTAAGGGACTCAAACCTAAGAAAGGCTGGATATTTTGCCTTGTTTGACTTTAACAGAGCTAGGATACTGTTTTTAGCAGTCAGAGTATCTTCTAATATTTGATTTTAGGCACATGTTCTAAAAATGACAGTTGGATATGGTCTAGAGACTAGCTGTTAAAACTGTAAAGCAACTCATGACACATGTTTAACCAAATAAAATTATTTTCCCCAGCTCATGCCACGCTGACAGTTTGCAAAAACCATCTTCACCTTCCTCCGTGCCTCATAAAAAGGGGCTGCGGCTATTTTTAAGCTCAAGGTTTGCAGAAGGGAATGTACATTATAAATCTAGGTTAGTTGAATTTGTTCAGGAATTTGTCACACTAAATATGAACACACTAAATATGACTCTTGAGTCTAAGTAAAAGAAAAATGAGATATTGATTATCTAAATTTCTCCCCCCATCTCTCCTCCCCCCTCTTCCACCCTACCTTTTCTTCCTCCCCTCTTCTGACCCCTCCCCCTACAACCCCACCCCTTCAGGTTTATCCTGGACAGTGGCAGAGCAAGAAGGAAAAGCCCTGAGTTTCTTGCTCTCCCTTAAGGTAATGGGTACCCTGACATAAGAGTAGCAACTTCAGTGAATCTCTGTTGCAATATTGTTTACCAGTAAAAGAACTCTAAGACAAGACAAGTATCAGCACAAACAAACTACCAGACTATATAACAAAATACTTGTCACACTTGTACAAATGAGTGGCCTGTTTAAAAAGAACTCCAAATAAAGGGACATTTGCATCAGCCCTTTTGGAGGCAACAAGATACAGTGTTATCTACTATTGCTTTTCTGGTTATGTCTCTTAGAAGATGTGTATGAAGGCACCTTATGGTAGTGTACCACCCTCCCCCTTTAATTCCAGCACTGGGGAGGTAGAGGCAGGTAGATCTCTGTGAGTTTGAGGGCAGCCTGGTCTACAAAGAAAGTTCCAGGATTGCAAGGGCTGTTACACAGAGAAGTACTATCTCAAAAAACAAACAAACAAAAAACAAAAAACAGAAAAAAAAAAAGAAAAAGAAAAAGAAAAGAAAAAAGTGTATGAATGCTACATTTGCTTTACCTTTTTTAATAACTTCAGGATAAATATTCAATATTTCCACCTTTCTGTCCTGATAAAATAATGGAACTATTCTAATAAAATTTCTTTATAGTTTCCACTCTATAGTGAACAAGTAGTAAGTAACAAATGTCACTTTAATTTTACATAATGAAATCAACTTAAATACAAAAGTCTTGGAGACCTAGTCACAATCACACAAAGAGTGAGAACTTTCTACGGTGATAATCCTATGTGCAGGTCAGCTCTGTGCCCTACGTCAATTCCACGATTAATAGAAAGTTGTGTAATGTTAGCACATATCACCACATCACACTCTCACTCTATGCCACACATTGGTGAGGCCAGCACTGACTAGCTTGTGTTGCTGAAGCAGGAGGCTTCATCATCTGCCGCCACTAGATGGTGCTTGTCATTGAAACAAAGCTTCCTCTGGATTGTTTTCTAATTAGAAAACCATGGATGGATGAGAAACTTGCCTAATAAACTAACTAGTAAATGGCAAGTTTGGAGGGCTATAAAGCATTGAGGATCATTGGCCAAGAAGCAAATGAAGCATTACCAGTTAAGGTTCAAAGATTTGAACAATCTTTGTGTTTTCTTCTGGATATTTAACCCCAACCTTGTTCCTGGTATGTAGACATTCTACTACTGAGCTGAAGCCCAGTCATGGCCCACTCCCCACATTATTGTGCTGTTATTGACACTAGTCTGCAATATGTCTCAGGTTGGCCTTGAACTCACTATATAGGCCAGGCTGGCCTGAAACTTTGGGATTACAGGTGTGTTTTCCCACATCCAGCTTTGCTGTCCGTTCCTTTCATCCTCAAACTTTGTGAGCCATAAGGTGAAAAGAACAAATTAAACTTTCTTTGGTTTATGAGAAGCAAAGGCACATATTTTAAGACAGGTGTGTGTGTGTTGGGGGAGGGTCCTCAGTATTTATTGTCCTCACTCAGAATGGCAAAAGCAAAGGTGACCACACACAGAGTTAACAAAAAGTTAATCGTGACCTTTCAAAAGGAGAGCGCATGGATCTCACTTACTGGACAGTAATCAGTAGGAGAGGAAATGGAACATGCCTTTTTAATTGTGGGACAGCAAACACCAAGTCGAGAGTGATAACAGGGCTAGTGGGCTGTCTGCCAAGGCCAATTCTTTTCTCATTAATTTAAGACACATACCAAGTTTCACCCCACAGTACTCTCTTTCTTTCCTTGCACCCCTACCCTGCTCTATACCCCCTTTCAGGATGAATTCTTGCCAATCTTGATATTAAACTGCCTCCAGGGGCTACCTATCAATTTGCATGAAGGGCATTTTGACATATTTTGCTGCTAAGTACATAGAAAATGTGTTTCTTGGACTTTTCCTTTCGCAGACAGTCACCAAAGCTGACTATTCATGGCTGGTTCATAACTATAATGAGAAATTGACAGCTATGTTGAAATACATAATCCACGGTGTGGGGGGTGGTGGTGGAGACTGCTGATCAGCAGTGGCAGATTCTTAATACAAAAGCGATTTCTTTTTTGCTCATGAGCTTTGGGTTGCTGCTTCTTGCTGTGTGTTTAGGAGTGACTTTAAACATTAGTCTAGAGACAAAACATAGTAACTCAGGGGAGAGATTTAAAGGTCAGATTTTGTTCCCCCTCCACTTCTGAATTGTGCCTGTTGCTACAGTAGGTTATGTAGAATGTGTGAACATGAAAGCAAGCCAGATATGACAACAGCCAAACACATGACACTAGTGCATTTTAATTTCAGACATTAGGCAACTTGGGGTGGTTCCCAGTGCTTGCTGAGTGTTGAGTAAGGGTTTTACACACACCAGCTTTCTCCAAACACAAACTCTGTATTTGCTTCTCCAACCCTGGAGGAGACACTGTGGATCATCTCCAGTTCCAGATACTGAAGGAAAAAAAAAAGTGCCTCTGCCATTAACTCTATTTCACCTTCTACCTCTGACATCTTATTAACTACCTTGGAGGAAGTGTTGGAAGCAAGAGTCAGTGTGTAAAGTGACTTCTCCTGGCCTCGTGTGTTTGGGTGACTGTGTGGAAGTCTTAGCAGTGACTTCCACACATTATATGCATGAGCAGGAAACACAGGTATGTTTGAACATAACCACACACACACACACAGCCCATTAAGACTGTAGTACACCCTGTAGTAGTCTTCAGAACATGAAAGGTGTTTAAGTTGGCATCTGCTCACACCTTAAAGGTTTTTTTTTTCTTCTTCTGATCACAATAATGCAGGGCTATTGACATATTGTGCATATTGTGGTTTGCTTGGCAAAGCGTACTTAATTAGCTTCAGCAGCATAGTAAATATGAAAGACCACTTTGCAAACTCAAGGACCCACTTTGAATGATTAAGTGAATTTCCCTAACTCCAGACAGAAGCCACCAGTGACACAATGAAAGGCAAGGTGGAGGTCCACGGTGTCCCCAGATATTCTTTGCCAATGAATGAAGATGTATGGTGACTTAACACTGAGGGCTGGTAGCACTTTCTTCACCAACAGGCCCCAAGTTTTGTAAAGTAGCATCCAGAATGATCTGGGCTGGGAAACGCATGCAACTTCAGATTCTCCCCAAGTGGGGGAACTGAGGCCAGCCGAATGAATAGTTGAACCTAGCAACCAGCTCTGAGCTTGAGAGGAGCAAGACGAGGTGAGGCCTCGGGGTCGGGAGCCAGATCCACACCCCCTCCCAGCCCGCCCCTCCAGCCCCAGGCAGCCGCAGCGCGCTGAGCCCCCAGCGGGGCGGCGCGGCCCGAGGCCCCTCCCCGCCGCCGAAGCCCGGGCGACTGACGCTGAGCGGCGGCCGGGAGCCGAGGGGGCCGGGCGGGTGCGAGCGAGGGCAGGGCAGGGGGCCGGCCGAGGCCAGTCGCCGCTTTAAATATGGATCGCGGGCTCGCGCTCGCCGTAGCGCTTCGGCCGCCCAACCCATCCCCGAGCCCGGCGGCGGCTGCAGCGTCGGTTCTCGGCAGGCACACGGCGAGCCGGGCGCACACGCGGGAGCTGCGGGAGGCAGAGTAGAGTGGAGCCGCCCCGTTGTCGCCGCTCCCTCCCCGAGGCCGGCACCTCCGCTCCGCGTCGCCGCTCCGTCCTCGCCGGGCCGACCCTCCCCTCCCGCGGCTGCCCTTGCCCCTCGCTCGCCTCCCCGGGCGCAGCGCGCACCCACCCACCCGGCGCCAAAGTTGCGACTGCTGCCCCGCGCGCGCTGCGAGCGGCGGCCGCGCCAACTTCCCAGCCCACGCCGCCCGGGTCCCCGCGGTCCCCCGCCTCCAGCCCCGGCGGCGCGCGGGGCAGAGCTTAGGTGGCGGCGGCGGCAGCCGAGGTGGCGGCGAAAGCGGCAGCGGCGGCGGCGGCGGCGGCCGCTGCAGCCTCACACTCAGTCGTCAAGCTGGAGGAGCGACGGAAGCCCGACCCCAGGAGGTGAGTGGCCAGAGCGGTGGCGGGCTGGGTCGGCCACGTCCTCAAGCCTCTCCCGCTCGGTGGGCACTGGGTGGCGGGCGCGGGCCCCGGGGTTGGTCCCGCCGGGCGCTCTGACGGCCTCGGCGCGGACAGGGAGGGACACTCAGAGAGAGAAAGAGGGAGAGGGAGAGAGAGAGGTCAGTGGTGGGCCGGGCATCCCCGGGGCTGGACGCCCGCGAAGTGTAGACGTTGCTGCTGTTGCTGCGGAAAAAGTACTTTTTATTCCGTCTTAGCGTTCAGATGACGAGTTTGGGTGGTTTTGTTTTCCCTCTACTGCATAGCCGCCTGCATGTAAGCGGGGCGTTGTTGCCACGGCCGTGGGGCTAGTGGACGCCCTGGCTAGGCTCGGGAGCAGTGACACTTGTGTTCCCTGGAGCCCAGTGGGCGTAGTGTGGCTGCGAACCTGCCTGAGGGGGGACACACCCCCAGATTTTTAAACTGGGGAGGTTGGGGGAAACAGTGCCATCGAGGCTGTGGTCCCCACTCCTCTGTCCGCTCCAGGACCAGGCACTCGCATCTCTCCCTGGCACACCGGAGGCGGGGGTGAGTCAGGCAGATTGTCTGCAAGAGGCATACACATTTATTTGCAAGGGGGGAAGACAGAGGTTAAACTGGGATTTCTGTTTGGCGACGGCGGAGCTCTTGCTCAGGTACTGGGCAGCGTGTGCGTCTTGGCAGGGACAGGTGATTCTTTCTTAAGTGCTTTTCTCTCAGCCTCTGCCAGTCTGTTCATAAGAGCGACAGCGGCTAACTGCCGCAAGCGCCATAAAGAGGAAAGTTCCCCGAGAACCAAAATGGTGGGGGGAAGCCCCCAACTTGAGAAATGCCAGGGAAGTATTTCAGCTCCGGCTCTAGCATGGCAGAGCACTTGTCGGTTCCCTGCAAAGGTGTAGTTTTGCTTCCCTCCCTGCCGGAGGCCTCACCTTCTTCTCAGCGTGATTGCCTGCAGCAAGTTCTTCCAGTCTGGAGCTGAAGAGCTGAAAACAGGCTTCTGTCCTCCTTTCCGCTCACTTCTCTCTCTCCCCCTTTACTTTGGTGCCAGACAAGCTCGCTGCTAGTCAGAACTCCCTGACACTGGGCTACACTACACCGACAGTGTCAGATCCTGGAAAGGCTCTGTCTTGAGGTGCCACACTGCACAGGGCTTCCCTTTTCTTTATTGGGGACTTAGGGTTGCAATAGTATCTAAACTGAAATGCCTATTGCTCATTAGCGCTCGTTTTCATTGTGATCTCAACACATTCTCTCTGAAAGCCAGACCAGTACAGGACGACTTAAAAACTCCTAAAAAATGTTTCTAAGAACCTCAGTACTTGTGCCTGTCACATTAGCATTAAATACTTTCCAGTTATTGGTGTACTTAAAGTGAAGTTATTTCTACTTCATTTGAAGGAAGCATGCCTATTTCCTAAAGCTTTTCATAACTGAGGAAAAACTTTTACTTTCATTTTAAAGTTAAATCTAAATAGGATTTAACTCCTGTGCTGTAAAATAGAATGGTTTTACCTTTAGATCCGAGTGTAGGCAAGATGACAGAAAACTTTCCTACAAAGGTAGGATGTGAAACTTAACCACTATGAATTCTTGGAGCATAGGGCATTTATAAAGATGGGGGTGAGGAATAGAAAATGGAATATTTTGGTAGCGCTAGATACATTCGAGAAAGCAGAAGCCCTCAACCCTTTGTATTAGTTTTGCAGTATGAAAATTGCAGTGTCATTTTTCTGTCTTAGGGCTGTGTTTGAAGCTTTAAAAACACAGAGTGTGTGAGCCTTTCAGGTGGTCAAAAGTGTGCTCAACTTATTGACATATGTCTACATAAAAACAGCTTGCAGGGTTTGTACCCAAGTGCTATTATTCTAAATGATTAGAAGATAATTGGATCTATAGAAATATTGTATAAAAGGAAGACAGGCAAATGTAGTAGAGAAAAACATGCTAGAAAGCTCACAACCTTTGGGACATCTCCCAGCACACCCTGGTAGTAATCTCATTTTCTACCAAGCTCTGGCAAGCTCAGATGGAGGATTCTGATCTCTTCTTCTGATAACATGCATGATAGTCTGGCCATAGCTTACATCTTAAAGGAAAACACAGTACTTAGAGGAGGAAAGGAAACACAGGTTAGCTGGTGAATCAGTGTAGATAATCAGGTTTCCTGCTGGCCTCTGAGGGCGCTGCAGTCCATGAGGGCTGCTGTTGTTAGGGGAGCCAGTCCTGGGAGAAGTCACTGCTACTGAAGTATGGCAAAGACGCTCTATCAGCTTGTTCCTTTGGCATTCCTTTTAGACAGTAGGGATAAAGACCAAGTCTGGATTTGGTGCACAGACAGGTCTGGAAGGATGGGAAAGTACAAGTGGGGAACAGAAAAATCTAATGATGATTAAAGTTTCCGAGTATCCTCTTTTTTTAATTGCAAAATGGAATGAACCAGTATACAGGACTGATTAGCCAGAAGGAGCCTTAAGCAGAATACATATCTGACCTGATGTTGTTTTTTTTTTTCAGGACAACTTAAGACCCAGGAAGTCTGTTTTTAATGTAGTCCTTTAGCAAAATATCCACTTACAAAATATCCAGGACTCAAATAAGACTTTACCAAACTAGTTATTACTGCTTTTGTATATAGAGATTTTAGGGGTTAAATACTGTTTTTTTTTTTTTAAATATAAGTTCAGGAGTAAGTTGTATACAAATAATTTTTTCCTAACTCTCAGCATTTACACAATCAGTACATTTTTGTAATGAACATTTGTGTCCCAACTTGAAGGTATTTCATGTACTCGTCACACATGTCTGTGGCTATTTTTCCAGCCATAGATGTGCATAATATTTTATACAGCAATGATTAGTCTACATATTTATACACAAGAACATACACATTCAGAGGTTGCCCATTTTATTTTATCTCAAGCCACATTTACTACTATCCTAATGACTGGTCCCTGAAGTGAAATAATTAAGGCACCTAAAGAGGAAGAGGGGATAAATTATGGTGCCTTTATTTACCTGCTATGAAAGGAAGTGAGAAAAATTTTTTTCCAGGCTTCTACATGATGCTCACAGTGGCATTTTCCTTAGTAATGCTATCTTTATCACCTCTGAATTAAGTGATGTATTAAAGATGGCAGAAGAGTAGTCATAAGAGTAATAGTGAAACCACCTTCATCTGTTCTTGTGGGAGCCAAACATGGGCTTCTTCCCTGAGAATCAAGCAGACATAAGGGTAAGTTATTGTGCTTATTTTGAAGACTAGAAAACCAAAACAGATAACTTTACTTAAAAAACAAACAAACAAACAAAAACCATCCTGGAAAGTTATTGATGGAGGCTGGAATGTATGTATCTGCAGAATGCTGTTACATCTTATCGAATGACTATGGTGAAGGGAATGAGTGTTATTTTAGTCACACAGGAAGAGGACAAAGCAGATGAAAGTTCATTCTGCTAATCTGGAGTTCTTCATGGTCTCCCCGCAATCCCACAGGAGCAGTGTCTACTTGCCTCAACTTTGAGATTCTGGATTCAACAATGCTAGAGGTGTTGTCCCCATAGGTTTTCAGTTTGGGATGTGTCAGTTTTAGCTTCAGTCTTAGGAGCTAAGTTTATTTTCGTGTGAATTGACACAGAAGTATGTTACATAAAGTTAAAACTTTGAAGGTCATACTTAAGTAATCAACAACTGTCTTGAGTTTGACTTCTTGCTTTGTTGAATTTGTATTAGAATTTTTATTAAAAAAAAGCTTTAGATATAATTTCTGTGATACTTTTGAGAGGCATTAAAATGAAACAGCCAGAAATGCAAAAAGAGAAAGGACTACAATGTGTTCAAAGCTGTTCTTTTGTTGGGTGGCATAAATAGGAAAGCTTTTCCCCATGCCATTAATAGAAGCTGGGTGCTCTTTTTGCTTTGGTAACTATATTCCCTGATGAATAGCCTGATTTTTACTATTTTCAAATGAATAAACTTGAAGGGTCTGGACTATTACTTAATTCTAGCTTTGCTTTGGAGACACAGTGATTGATGGGATCTAGGAATATGGCTGTCCACTTGCATGCTCTCTCGCCAGAAAGGCTCTGAGCAGCCAGAGAGGAGACAGATATTAAAGAGGGCTCTGTCACTTGGGAGATCCCTTTAGAGTCTGCAGATGTGAAGCACATTTGAGTTATTGTCATATGGCCTCTGATATCACAGCCAACAGTAAAGAAGATAGTAGAAGACAGAGTTAGGCTGATAGCGATAGGCACATAGAAGACGCTGTGCCCAGTGAGTGGGCAGCCTCTTAGTAAAGGAAGAGGAAGAGGCCACAAACAGAACTGAGGGGTAGAACGTGGGACCTGATAGTGTCATGTAGAGCAACCCCTACCTCTCTTCTCCTTTCCTTTATTTTCTTTTCCGTTCCTACTGCCTCATCTATTTTTACTGAGGTGCAACTGCATCAAGAATGTCATTAAAACATCAGTAAATAGTCAATGATCTACTTGAGTGAATACATCTATGTAGCTAGTGTCCACATCAGGATGCAAGCCAATGACAGTCTCAGAAGCCTCCTGTTCCCCCCACTGTAAGCTTCTACCTCCTCCAGTAACGTCTCACTTCTGAGGCTGTAGGTTACTTCTACCTGTTACTCAATTTTCCACAAGCAAATCACGTGGTATGTGTTTGTGCGTCTGACCCCTTTTGCTAACTGCTATGTTTAGGAGATTCCTTCTTGATTTGTGGGTAGCAAGTTTGTTTATTCTCATTGTCCTAAGGAGTTTTACTTTTGGGGAATGGCACAACACGTTTATGTATTTCATTCTTGATGGATACTTGGGTTGTTTTCAGTATTGTCTGTTACAAATTGTCCTGATGTGGGTGTTCTTGAGTATATCTTTTAGAAAATGTGGATAACTAACGTGTGTTGAGTTCAGTTGTTAGGTTTGGTTTAGTAGATGGTATTTCCCCACAAAGTTGATACAGACTGACTCTGACTCATCTTCCTACTGGCATTGAATGAAAGTCTTCTATAAACATCTTTATGGATGGCGGGCCTTATGTGCTTTATACATTTTACCTGGTTTGTAGATATGAGTATATTACATCATGGATTTAATTTACATTGTTGAGTATACTTTTTCAAATATTTATGAGGTGTGTTCTATTGGTTTAGTTATTATTATTATTGCTGTTAAAGTTTCTGTTTAACACATTATCCCTTGGAAAGAAGGTTTTAATACCTGAGAAGTTAAC